GCAACAGCTTCAACATCATGCCTTTTTTTTAAAACAACATTTAATGATATAGTTCCAAGTTAAGATGGTGCGATACTTGGAGGGGGAAGTTCCAGGTTGATAATGTCTCTACACGTTTCCTGTCCTCATTTATGTAGGTAGTGGGGATTGCAAGTTCCAGAATGTTTGTTGAAGTTACAATGTAGTACAGATTGCATATAGCACACACTGCAGACACAGTGCACTGATAACGGATGGACTGATAATCAAGTGGACTGCTTTGATAGTAGTCTGAATGTCTTTGTGGCTATAATCATCTAATATGATTAGTTCTTGTGCAAAGATGCTTTAGGAAGTCAAGAGGCAAGTAGCTCACCAGAGAATACGTAGCTTTTGATCTGGTCTTGTAGCTACAGTATGTCATAGCTGGTCTAGTCCAGTTTCTGGACCATGACAAAACCCGGGATGAGTGATTCAACAAAGGGAATGCCATTAGAAATCAAGTGGTTAGACTCTTTGCTGGAGATGGGTATTGCCTGTTATTATGTATGGTGCAAATGTTAGATGTCCCAAGCCTATCTATAGCCTGGAACTTGCTGTATGTATTCACGAATGTCCAATTTTTTTGAAAAAATATGAATGGATCCGAACAGCTCAAATATAACATAGCACAACCTTCAGCTTACTACAGGCAATGTCACAGGGGATTTACAAGGTATACAAATTGGATGTCCTGTAGCCAATGGGGAGATGAAAGCATCATGGGGGAAACGGGTTCAAATCTCACCATAGCGGCTGGTAGAATTTAAATTCGGTTCATAAAATCTGATAGTCCAGAAACCATGGCTAGTTGCCGTAAGGAACATGTTTTAGGGAATGCAACCCGCCATTGTTACATGGTCTCTCCTCCATGCAACACCAGATCCGCAGTAATGTGAACACAAAACACTCCAGAACAGGAAAGATCCTTGGGCCCACCGTGTCTGTGCCAACCATGATGGCATTCTAAACTAATCCCATCTGCCTGCAGGTGTAGTCTCCCTCTATTTCCTGCCTGTTCATGTGTCTGTCCAAAAGCCTCTTAGACATTGCTATCATATCTGCTTCTACCACCTCCCCTGTTAGCACGCTCACAAATTCCAGGCACCTACTGCACATTAAAAAAAACTCGCCTTGCGCATCTCCTTTAAATTTTCCTCTTCTCACCTTAAATCTATGCCCCAAATATTTGACACCTCCATCCTGAGAAATAGACTCTGACTCATGGATAGGGTGGATACCCTATCCATGCCTCCCATAATTTTATGTACTTCAATTATCTATATCCTGCTGCATCCTTTGACCTACTTCCTCACTATCCACAACTCCACGAACTTTCATTGCATTTGCAAATTTAATCAGCCCACCTACATTTTCATTCAAATTATTTAGATTTATTACAAACAGAGATTCCAGCACTGATCCTTACAGAACACCACTGGTAACAAACCTCCAGTCAGAAAAACATACCTCCACAACTACCCTCTTTCTTCTATGACCAAACCAATTCTGTACCCAATCTACCAATGCATCACAGATCCCATACAACTTAATCTTCTTGACAGCCAACCATGAGGGATAACATCCACTGTCCTATGCTCATCAATTATCTTCGTCACTTCCTCAAAAAACTCAAACAAATCGGAGACAAGACCTCCATTGCACAAAGCTATGGTGACTATCGCTACTAAGTCCATTATTTTCCAAATGTGAGTGAAACCCAGTCTTTAGGAATCTTATCCAATAATTTCCCTACCACTGATGTAAGGCTCGTCAGCCTATAATTTCCCAGATTATCCCTGTTGCCCTTCTTAAACAAAGGAACAACACTGGCTATTCTCCAGTCTTCTGTGTCCTCACCTGTGGTTAAAGGGGATATAAAGATCTCTATCAAGTTCCCAACAATCTCCTCCCTTGCTTCCCTCAGTATCCTTGGATAGATCCCATCAGGCCCTAATTTCTGCGGTTCCAGCCTAATACTGTTGTAATTAGTATTTCCCAATTTCATTTTACCCCAAGGACCAGTCTTATTCTTTTCCATGATAGTAGGAACTGCAGATGCTGGAGAATCTGAGATAACAAGGTGTGGAGCTGGATGTTGACCCTCCCTGCTGTACAGCAGGCCAAACAGCATCAGAGGAGCAGGAAGGCTGATGTTTCGGGCCTAGACCCTTCTTCAGAAATTTCTGAAGGGTCTAGGCCCGAAACGTCAGCCTTCCTACTCCTCTTATTCTTTTCCATAACTATTTTGAAACTTACTGCATTATGATCACTGTTCCCAACATGTCCCCCACTGAAACTTCAATCACCTAGCTAGGTTCATTCCCCATTACAAGATCTAGTATGGCCACTTCCCTAGTTGGACTATCTACATATTATTTCATGAAACCCTCCGGATTAACCTAACGAATGCTGCCTCATTTATGCCCTTAGCACTAAGGGAGTCCTAGTCAATATTGGGGAAGTTAAAATCACCCACTACAACTGCTGTTCTCACATCTTTCCACGATCTGCTTTCATACCTGTTCCTCTATCTCCTCCTAGTTAATGGCACGCCTATACTATGACCCTATCGTAGGAATAAGAAAGGTATAATTACTGAGTTCTACCCATATGGCTTTGCTGGATGAACTCTCCAAACTGTCTTTTCTTAGTGCACTCTCCCACCCTCTTCATCAGACCAAAAACATCTAAATCCTGGAATGTTGAGCTGCCAATCCTGCCCTTCTCAACCAGGTTTCTGTAATGGCTATAATGCACTAAAACAGGCTCTAAACTCGTCTGCCTTGCCTGATATACTCTTTGCATTAAAATAAACACAGTTCAGACTGCCAGTCTAGCCATGTTCATTAATCAGAAGAGCTGGCAGGGTCAGGTTTAGAGTTACTTGACTTACCCTTTACCTTCTCCTCAATCACTCCACATTCTGACCCATTGCTCGGTTTCCCATCTCCTGCCAAACTAGTTTAAATCCTCCGGGGTAGCACTAACAAACCTCCCTGCAACAATATTAGTGTCCATCCAAGTTTAGGTGCAACATGTCCTTCTTGTACAGGTTCCTCCTGCCGTGGAACAGATTCTAATGATGCAGATATCTGAAGACCCCCCCACCTCCCTCATATACCAGCTCTACAGCCACGCTTTAAACTATAACGTCTTCCCATTTCTGGCCTCACCAACATGCAGCACAGGGAATAATCCCACGATTACAACCCTAGATGTCCTACTTTTCAAACTTTCTACCTAACTTCCTAAATTCCCTTTGCAGGACCACATCTCCCTTTCTGCCTGTCATTAGAACCAATATGGACCAAGACCTCTAGCTGTTCACTCTCCCTTTTCAGAATATCCTGTGTCCACTCAGAGACATCTTTAACTCTGGCACCAGAAAGGTAACACACCATTCTGGAGTCTTGCTAGTGGCCACAGAAACGGCTATGCCACTGACTAGAAAGTTCCCTATCTCACTACTGCTCACCAACACTTTGACCCTCCCTGCTGTACAATACAGGCAATCACGCTGCTGCTGCTGTTTCCTCTAAGATGCCACCCCCACCACTCCACTGCCATTACTATCCTTCTAGTAACTACTGGATTCAAATAAATGAAATTACCTTGCTTTAATGATGCTTGCCCTCCACAGGGGAGCCCAATGCTCACCAGGGCCTGCACTTTGACCTTAACAGCAGGATCACCTCATACCTGCTGAGGCTCTGCTGTTTCTAAGCCACAATCGCATTTTCTTACAGCTACCCTCACTCTCTCTATTTTAGTTTTGAGGGAGGGAGGGAAACTCTACACAGTAATGTAAGAGACTTTACCACCGGGTCCACCGAGATCCCCTTCTCTGTCATATTTTTGGAGCCAATTTCTCCCAGATGCCTCTTCAGTCACTTCTTATGATTACACTATGTTGACTCTTACCTAGAAAACATTCACTATAAGGGCAATAAACACTCGTCTTGCCAGCAATGCCCACATCCCATGAAAGAGAAGAAAAAACTCAACCCACAAGTCTCCTCCATCATTCAAAAAAAAATTCAGGCTGTGCTGATTGCGAGCTCAACTCTACATTCCTGCCTACTCCAGATACACAACAACTCCCTTGTGAATCAGGGATCACTACTTAAAAATATTCAGTTACTGCCTGCCCTCTGGGGAAGGAAGCTCCTGAGATTCTCATTGCTGAGAGAAGAAAAAAATTTTCATCTCTATCTTAAATGGGAGACCTTTTATTTTTAAAGTGTGCCACCTAGTTCTAACCTCCTCACATTTCACATCCAATTTGTGATATCTCTTCAGAAACTTATCTTTCCATAAGATAATCTCTCATTCTTTCAAATTTAAATGGCTTCACAGTCAACCTGTTCAAGATAAGCCACTCATCCCGGGAATCAGTCAAATGAACCTTCCCAGAAACACTTCTAATGTATTTAAATTCTTTCTTAAATAGGGAAACCAAAGCTGTACACAGTACTCCAGGTATGGCCACAAGAATAGATTCAGTATTAAACAGCAGATCACTGATGCTTTAATGGAACGTAGGACTCCCCAACTTGACAATTCCCTCCTGAAATCTCTCCTTTAAACACATCTCAAAACACTATCTGTGCCCAAGGTCTGTCCTAATTCTTTTTGTGTGGCTCATGAGATTTTGTCTGATATTGTTACTGAAAAGCACTTTGGGATGTTTTACTACAACTACAAGCAGTGCAACAGGCTGCACCATGAGGCATTAAATTGTTCTTTCAGAAGGGTCAGAGAAAAGAAGCATTGACACTCAGCTTCATTTCCTTAAGTGCGGCCTCGACATGGACAAGTACCCCAGCAAGCTTAGCTTTTTAATGCCAGATCCCAAAATTCACCATATTTTGCTTTTTGTACAATTGCTATAGGTTGCTTTAAGAAATGTCAGTAACAAAATACAGAGATGTCAGTCTTAGTTTACTATGTTTTTTTTATCATTCACAAGTACACACAACTCGCTTTTTTGCTGCTGCTTTAATACTCAATCTTATTGCCATCATCCTAACATGTAGCTATATACAAACAGGTAAAACGTCACAGATTCCTTTCCTAATAAAATCAGTTACAATCTGTTTAAAAAAATACAGTCAAAATAGAATTTACACTTGTAGTCTGATTTCAAGACATTTACAGGAGCATTTATACAAAAAGCACAGTTGAGGGGAGGGGCTGGGGTAGATATTGACGGTATAAAGATTGAGCTATCACTAGTGTATGACATATAGATATGGAATACAAAGCACTTCAAACTGGAGAGCACACTATCTTTAAGAGGGTTCAGGCTACACCTCAATTCATGTGTACTATATATATATAACAAGTTACACCAACGTTATACACAGCTTCGACAGGACGTAATTTTATGGCCGCTAACACAGGAATATAAAAACGATTCATGATTGTCATGGCAACAGCTATAATTAGCATCAGGTCTTAACCTTTCTCTGTTACCTGCATTACTAGCTGTTTGAGTAATGGAATCGTTCAGCTTTTCTGATCAGTTAGCTACCTGATGAATCAAACGGTGCAATTTAAAATTAATAACATTTGCTTCAGTGGTTCACCTCCTCAGGCAAAGTGCTTAGTCAGACCTCTATGGAAGGAACACCTTTCATTAATAGAGATTTTTGCGATATATGTAGTTTTCAAATATGCCTTGAAATGGAATAAACTTGCTTTTGGAAACATGGAAGAGGCCTGATTGTGTATTAAACAAGGTGGGGGGTTGGGAGGGGAGCTTAAAGAATCAGACACAGAAAGGCTTTTTAAATTATATATTTTCTTTTTTATACAAAATAGTCAACTTAAGTTATCCTGCAAAAGCTGGTGAGAAAGCTAGCAATAGTCAGAAGTTTCATTTTACGCGGCTTCAATTATTGTTCCCCCACCCCAGCCCATCATCCCTCTACACAAGCCAAAAAGAACCCTGCCCTCCCCTTCAAAAGAAAAATGCAGATTCTGGTTGATGAAAATCTGCAGCAGGTTAAGACTGCTGAATGAAAAGGGCTTCCTTCAACATAACTAAAAAGTCGGTAGCAAAGGAAAGCCAACAAACAACATGCCCACGTATCATTTGTTCCTCCATACTAGCATTCCTTTCAGTTCCAAATATCTAACAGGACATTTGTAAAATTCTAAAGTTGAATATTGTAAACCACAATTCATACAGAAAACATATATTTGTGAATGGCATTCCATAAAACATTTCGATGCAGGTAAAGTTTCCACTATAGTGCAGCAGAAAACATTGCTGCAACACTAAAAACTGGCTAAACCTGTAACTGTACAGACTAAACACCTATCAACCATTTTGATTTTATTGGAACATAAATGAGAAATCAGTTACTGTATTTGAGGAAATATTAGCACAAAGAAAATGTGTCCAGCCCAAGATTGCCAGGACCTGTATCCACAAGAACGCAATTTTCTAGCAAACATAAATGTGAAAATATAAAGATGTACTCAAATTTTATCAAAGTTTATCTGCCATTGACATTCTTTTAGGGGGAAGGGAAGTCCATTTTTTTCATGGACTTAGTCTGAAACTTGCTAAATCATAGATTTCTCCTTTGCATTTAGTGGATTAATTTGGAAAATGGTTGAAAAACAAATGACTTAGGGTGGGGGAAAAGAAACTGGGATGTACAATGTGAATAAAACTTTGCATTGTTGTTTTCTCGACAGCTCTCAAAGTGCTACAGTAAATTATTTTTACAGCTGCTTTTTAAATGCATCCAATTCCTCGAGTCAAATCCATATCCTTCTAATTAGCACCTCTGTGCGTGTTTTCAATATAAACGCGAGACTGTTTCCTTGGGGATGTTCACCACTTGAGTTGGGTTGTGGGGTCACTGAAGATCAGATGGACTTCAGTGCACTTGCTATCATGTCATTCTACAATGAAGAGGATGACAAAAATCTAACATTAGCTTGGCATAGTAGTACTGCAAATACAATTTGCTATCTCTCTTGCTTTCCCTTATATTCTTATTCATTAAAAAGAAAACAGAATGTGAGATACATCAGTAAAATTAAGCTACCAGATACAATTACTTAGTCATTTGATAAAGACAAATTTGTCAGCTATTCACATAGTTGTCCAATATTTGCCCAAAAATGTGTGAATCCACATCTAAATGCTATGCTATATATAGGAACAGTCTCAGACATGCAACATCAGTGCTTTATCAATGTTATTCAAACATTAAATAAGCCCATATTTCTCAAATGACCGCTTAGTCAAATACAGTCCTATAAATTTTTTTTTTAAAAATTGGGGTAAACACAAATATATGATCGTGGCGTTTTTCAACCCATGCTGTACACACATTCTGCAAACTGCAGAAACTAACAATTTAAAAACAGGAAGGGATCATTCATGGTCTCTTTTCTTTTTTATTACAATTGCTATCAAGCACAATTCAGCAATCAAAAATATTCACAGTCTACTCTCCATGAATTGCTTTTTATCGTTCTCTTCTTTTATAAAGACTACCCCGTGATTTCTTTATACATAAACAACCTGCAATTGTCCCTCATTGTTGAAGTGAAGGTCAAGAGGTTTTCAGCAGGTTGTTGAGATTGTTCGTAGGTGTTAAGTCACACTGCAGATCCTGTGATTTGACTGTTGTACTCTGCAGTTTCCATTCGCAAGATGTAAGGTATTATACTGTCAATCTGCACATTTCCTATTAGTCCAGCAAAGAACAGTTCTTCTGTGATAGCAGAACTCATGAGTCGTAGTGCAGGCAATCTAAGAAGTAGTCTTGATAATCTGACAGAAAAAATACAACAAATTATAATTATGTTAGTTGAAATCTTTACCTTTTGTGTTCCAAGACATTTTACACAACAATATGCTAGCTTCTGCAGAACAGACTTTGGAATATTTATCTAGGGTAAAAATGGCAGCCAAGACTTCACAAATAGCAAAAACCCACAGCAATTCTGAATTTCAATGTTGTGGAACTGCGACACCAATATAACAAATCTTATTTAAAAGATGAATGATATCCTGGTACTACATTTTAACAGATGTTATTTCCTGAAAATTTAATTCGATGACTTTATTTTCTGTTGCAAGCAATCATGTCAATCACTACAAAATACAAAATGTAATGTTCTTACAGCTTTTATTGCACAAATGTATTTGAACAAAGAGGAATAAGTTACAGTTATCATCGGATTAAAATTTATGAAGGAAGTTAGAAAAGCAATGAGTGAAAAAAAAAACAAGAAATGTTGTGATGTTCAGGAAAAATCAATAGGAATCTCCTGGAGTTAATTGCTTACTTTGTCTGCTTGCGAGACAGTAATTGGGGGAAATACAGTTACATTGTTTTGATTCAATGATAACCTCTTACAATCTATGGAACAATCATGACTGGTTATTTGGACAGCCACGCCAGACCTGTACAGTGCAGAAGAACACATGACAAGGAGTGACCAACATAACTCGTTAACCTGTTACAGCCGGTTCTGCTATAACGCATGTTTCGTCAACACAAATTTGCTGTAACACAATTGACAAATAGGGGATCACTATTTCTAAAATGTGAACTTGTGTGGGTTTTCCACGATTCCATTGGCGCACGGAGGAGTACGCGTTGACATCATGTGATCATTTCATTGGCTTTGTTGTGAAGTGCTTTTTGAAAGAGGTACAGTACAACCTCCTCCCCCATCAGGCCATCTTGACATTTTTTCCAAGGTAAAGTGTTAAATTTACTTTTGTTTCGTTATTAGATATGAATTAAACATTTATTTAAATAGTGCTATCATGTGTTAGGCTTTTGAGCGATTTTGAGTGACTTTTTTGGTGGTCTGTTCTTAACCCCACTTTTCCCATTGGCCCCGTTACTTCTATACTGCGATTTTCTATAACACGATGTTGCACAGGAATGCAACTATCATGTTATAGTAAAACAGAAAGTACTCCATTCACTCACCCTGACCCTAATTCTACCCACCATATCCATCTAAAATTACCAACTGAGTTAGCAATTACTGCATTTGGTGAGAGATCTTCTCACATAAACAGCCTGGGTCTGATTTTAGGGTTATTTCCCCATGTCAGTAGATGTGGAGCTGGAAAAGAGCACCAAGCCAGGCAGCATCCGAGCAGGAAAGTCAACATTTCGGGCTGAACCTTTTGTCAGGACTGGGGAGGGGGGCCCAGAAGTAAATAGAGGGAAGGTTAGGGCTGGGGGAAGGGTAGGTGGGACGGTCATAGGTGGATGCAGGTAGGGGGTTATCGTGATCGGTCAGCGGGAAGGGTGGAGCGGATAGGCGAGTAGGAAGATGGGCAGGTTAGGTTAGGTCAGGTCAGGCCAAGGAGGCGAGGCGAGGAGAGGAGAGGAGAGGAGAGGAGTGGCCTGGACATGGAATAAGGCTAGGGGTGGAGGGATTTTGAAACTGAAGTCAATATTAAGGTCACAGGGCTGTAAATTCCCAAGGCAAGATATCAGGTGTTGTTCCTCCAGTTTACATTTGGCCTCACTCTGACAGTGGAGGTGGCCAAGGATGGACAAGTCACTCGGGGAGTGGGAGAGAGAATTAAAATGGATGCCAACTAGAAGGTTGGGTTGGTAGGTGCGTGCAGAGCACAGATGCTCCGCGAACTGGTCCCCGAGTCTGCGTTTGGTCTCCCCAATTTAGAGGGGAGCACATCAGGAGCAACGGATACAATAGATCAGGTTGGATGAAGGGCTGGTGAATCTCTGCTGGATCCGGAAGGATTGTTTGGGCCTTGGACGGAGGGAGAGGGGAGGTGTAGGGGCAGGTGTTGCACTCTTGCAGTTGCAAGGAAAGGTACCGGGTGTGGAAGAGGGGTTGGTGGGGAGTGTAGATCGGACGAGGGAGTTACGGAATGAACGGTTCCTGCGGAAAGTGGACAGGGACAGGGAAGGAACATCTTTTTGGTGGTGGAGTCTGAATGTAGGTGGTAGAAATGTTGGAGGATGATGTATTAGATTCGGAGGTTGGTGGGGTGGTACGTGAGGACTAAGGAGACTCTATCCTTATTGCTGTTTTTTTTTGGGGGGGATGGGGAGTTGACGTCAGAAGTGTGGGAAGTGGAGGAGATGTGGTTGAGGGCATCCATAATTACACAGGAAGGGAAATTCTGGTCCCTAAAGTAGAAGGATATCTGGAATGTCCTGGAGTAAAACGCCTCATCCTGTGAGCAGATGCAGCTGAGGCAGAGGAATTGAGAGTATTGGATACCATTTTTACAGGAAGATGGGTGAGAGGAGGTGTAGTCGAGGTAGTTGTGGGAGTCAGTGGGTTTGAAATGGATGTCAATGGTGAGTTGGTCTCTGGAGATGTAGATGGAGGGGTCCAGGAAGGGGAGTGGAGTGAAGTGTCAGAAATGGACCAGGTGAATTTTAGGATGGGGTGGAAAGGGTCAGCGAAGTTGATGAACTGTTCGAGCTCCTTGCGGGAGCACAAGGCAGCACCGATGCAGTTATCAATACAGCGGAAGAAGAGATGAAGAATGGTGCTGGTGTAGTTGTACAAGAGGGACTGTACCACGAATCCTATGAACAGGCAGGCATAGCTTGGGCCCATGCACTCACAGCCACCCCTTTGGTTTGTAGGAAGTTGGAGGAATCAAAGGAAAAACTGTTGAGGGTGAGAACCAGTTCTGCAAAGCGAATGAGCGTGTCAGTGGAGGAGGACTGGTGGGACTACAGGAGAGGAAGAAGTGAAGGGCTTTTAGTCCATCCGCATGGGTGGGTACAGGTGTAAAGAGACTGTCAGTCCATGGTGATGATGAGGTGGCGGGGGCTGGGGAATTGAAAGTTTTGGAAAAAGTGGAGGTGACTTTCAATTCCCCAGTCCCCGACACCTCATCTTCACCATGGATGGACAGTCCCTGTACACCTGTACCCCGCAACACAGACGGCTTAAAAGCACTCACTCTCAACAATTTCTCAACAACAAAAGAGAAGGCTGTGCTGAAGAAGAGTTGGGAGCTGGCTTGTGCGTCGTATTAAAACAACCACAGAGCAGCAAGACCAAAAAGCCTGCTTCAGGGCTCCATATTATATATAATTCTAGATAATGCAAAATCACTCATCACCTTCTACTTTCCAGGTATAGAATCTCTCCCCAGAATTTAACCCACAGGGCTCTAGTAACATTCCGGTAAACATGCTATAGTGACGTCCAAACCAATATATCATAAGGTGCAATGTCCTGAACAATATGCAATGTTGTCTAACCAATGTTGTGTCACTACAAGTAAACTTTCACCCCATATGTATTCTAGCCATCATGTTATAAAGGCTTAATACTCCAATAGTCTCCTTGATTTTTTAAACCCAATTACCACCTCTTAGTAATTTGTGTACACAGAACCCTACATCTCTTTGGACCTCCAACATTTCCGGTTTGCAGCATTTAAAAAAGATGCTCAGATCAATCCTATTTTGGTCCAATGAAATCCATTTGCCACAGCTTTGTCTACTCATTTAAACCATCAACGTCTCTGTAATTTTATGCATCTATTTATGTTATTTACTATGCTGCCAATCTTTATGTCATCAGCAAACCTGGATATATGGTTTACACCCAAGGTACCAAATCAAATCTAAGGTGTGGTGGCGGAATTGTGTCCAAGGTAGTCTCCCATGGATCCTTCAAGAGCCACTACAGAAGTCTAAAACTAGTCAGAACTTAGAGGATGCACATACCAATTGGTCTTTCACATACATTACAGAAAGGTTCTGAAACAGGTTCAGATCCTGTCTGCTTATTTGGATTAGTCAAAGCTGATTTCAAGCATAGCCTAAAAACAACGGAGAGGACTGGCTTGGCAGCACAGATTAGATTCAAGACTTGCACTCAGGAATTGGTTTTCATTGCAAGCATTTTATACACCCAATAGACAAAATAGGTCTCTATTTTTATCCCAGTGTACCAAATAACATTGCTGCACTTGACCCAAGCCAAGTGTCAGGATGCCAGCTCAGGCCCATCACAGAAAAGGAGTTTCACTCTGAGCATTATAATGTGCCCAATTAGAGGTGTTGTGATGAAAATTGCAGAAATTTATTTAATCGCACCTGTAAGAATCATCTGGATAGGCTTTTGCTTCATAATCCTGAAGTTCCATATATGCCTTCTCCTGAAATTTATCAATCTGCGCTGCATTAATTAGGCCTGGATGATCTAAGGAAAACAAATTAATTATTCTGAAAATTATGCACAGGTTTACTGTTCATTCACAGCCTAAGCACTTTACATTCAACCTTCAGGCAGTTACAATAATAGAATAAGAAAAAAAATAAAAATAGGCAATTTAACCCAATCTCATCTCCTGACCCAAGACTAGCCCGTGGAACTCTGCCACGAGTAAATACAAGGTATTGATTTGCATTTGTAAATCAATAGTCCGATTGACAGGTCACTGAACGATAACTCAGTGACTTGTCTCTCCTTAGTGCAAGAGGGGTATTTTTTTTTTGGAAGAAGACATGGTGATCTTTCTCCAATGAGCAGAAAGATCTTCAGCAAAGCTGTTCTGATTGCCCTCATTTCACAAACATGAACGTTGTTCTATTCCCCAATCCTATATTCACTGTTTCCTGGGGGTTTATCCACTGTTTCTTCCAAAAGAGGGAAAAGACTGGATTAGTTGTATCCCCTGTAAACCTTGTTTTTAACAAGGCATTTTTTTTAAATGAATGCGTGTCAAGAGTCAGGATCCAATGGCCTTACCAGCCTCCTCAACAGAGGCTCTGATGTCTAGATTTTCATATCTGAGCTAGTCTGGAAGCTTGTCTTTATAAAACTGCCTCATTTATAGTAATGAGGGGACTCCTTAATTACTTTGGCCAATGTTCTTTGCTAATTGTCCTGTCAGGAGAATTTCTCTGTCAACACTGAGATCGGAGGTGTAGCTAAGGGAGGACCACACACACACAAACACACAGTCTTCAAAGTTTTATAGAAATTCCTCAAGTTGTGCTGTTCAGTGTAAAGTTGAAGTTTCCAGCAGGTTTGGCACATCTTGCATGTTACACAGCATCTATTGCAGGTTCTCATTTCTCTTCTGAAGTGATTTCTTAGCAGTATTTGCACCTTTCTTTCTCAGCCATATTGCACATGCTGCACTTTTTTCCTGTAGCAGTTCCTTAATTTGATAACAGTTTTCATTAAACCAGTCTCAGTGGTTGGTTTACTGTGTTCCCAGGAAATTGGCAGCAGCTTCCAGAATGGTTGATGTGAAAGTTGACCAGGTCATGTCAACATCACCTGTGTGTAATTGGGAGGACAGCTTGTCCTTACAGTTGAGCCAAAATTTTTGCAGCACTCTGCATATGTCAGTTTCCGCACACCTAGATTTGTTTTAGGTCTATGTCTGCAGTACAGTCGTCTCATTTCAGTGTGAAGGTCAGCTTCATCTTAGACGAGATCATTCTGGGGTTTGTACAGCACTCTGCTCCTTGCTCTGTTGGGTTTGATGCCAGTGTTGAGAACTTAGGTATGTCCAACTGTTTTTGTATTTCACCTTCTGTCCAGAGATGGTATTAGTGATCGACATAATCCAGCAAGTGCAGAGGCTCAGGAGAAGCCTGCCATTTCTGCACAACTTTAGCTGGCAGCACACCATCTCGATCTGGATAGTCAGCTCTTAGCATTGCATTGAAGTTTTCTGTCACAAATTAGCTTGCCCTCTTATTGAGTATTTGCAATAATTTGGTCCAGATCCTCAGATTTTCTCACTGACGTCCATAGAAATAGTCATTGCTGGAGTGTGTACACTGATGATTTTCGTATACTAGTTTATAAGTCATGAAGTGATTGTTTACACCTCTAGGGAAAGTATTCAAACTTTATGCAATGTTAGAATGGATAGTAAAGCTGATCCCTGCCTCCTGCTTCACTCTTTGGCATCCTTATCCAAAGGAATGTGCAATTTACTAATAGCTTTTGTTATCTGCCATCCTCTGTTAGGAATGTTTCGCTTAATGTGGCAAAATCAGTATTGTATCATGATAGCTCCAATCCAACTTGAGGGGTTTCGGGCTCAAATGTTACATTTTAAGCTGAGTTCTTGATTCTTCTCTTCCTATTTTGCTCACAATATCCTGCACTATTAAAGGGCGATTAAAAAAAGGAAAGCATTTCAGGATGTTACAGTATGTATGAAGGAGTCAGTCAGGTGCCCACACAAGAAACAGTTTTATGAGAGGTGATTCCAGTGGAGATGAACTGCACCTGGCCAGCCTCACTCTCTTGGTCTTGTACATCCGTTCCTGTTAGTTTAACGAGATGACAGGACCTGCAGCACCTTGTGTGTCTATGTTAATGAACTTTACAACTGTCCACACAGCTTTACTGCAATGCTTCCAGTACCAGTAAAGGAACACCATTTTACCAGCAGTATTTGTTGAGGCAGCTTTTTTGTGAACTTGGGATGATATGGTTTGAGATGAATGTTCTCCTTCACACGTGAACACTAGCCAGTCAGTTATTCTCACAGGTTCCGATTCGCAGGAAGGGTCACCGGACCTAAAACATTAACTCTGATTTTTCTTCACAGATGCTGCCAAGCCTGCTGAGCTTTTCCAGCAACTTCTGTTTTTGTAGCTATTCTCTTGGCCTGTGAACTGACGCAGTTATTAAGGTGTGGCTGTTGCTACACATACACATCTATGCAAACCCATAGATGGGAAAGCTTCAAGGGCTAGGTACAGTTATCCATTTAGCTATGAAGTAGAATATATCTAATTTCTGCAGAAGGGACTACATCTAGGACACACTTCACTGACAAAGAGGTTAGTTAATCTCACTAAATTGAATGGCAATAAGTGTTCCTCCAGTATTTGTTAGGAGGGTAAAATAAATTCAGCCAAGATTCCTGCTCCTGATTGCCATTCAGTGACATCTGGTGGGAAACACAAAACAAAGCAGGATTATGTTAGCTATGGCGTAACTGAATACAGGACCGCTCCTTCTGCAGTACTGCAAGTTTTGAAGCATGCTTAAGTAAAACTGAATTTTCATCAACAACCTCAATGAAAACAAAGGATGAATACTCATGATACATGTGTCTGTTTAAGCTAACTCCATAATCAAGACAAATGTGAAATTTCTGCTGCTGAGCAAGTTATAACAGTACTATGCTTTTAAGAGAGATTTGTTCTGTGCTGTTTCTCTTGCAGAGACGTATTGCCACAGTGGTGCCGGAACATCTGCTTCAGACATAGAGGTCTGGGTAGACAGCTGTGAGCTCAGTGTTTTTTTTCTGATATTACAGAAAGGAAGCACTAGCCTAGGGTCTAGGCTATTTCCTTGATATATTTTGAGGGGGTTTGGTCTAGTCCACAACAAAGTTAAGTGAAAAAGTAATATGCATTCATAGATTTAATTCTTATATAAATAAGATGACTTGTATTACAGGAGACCATTGAATTTTTTTTTATAAGACAGGGAGGATCCTCAGAAGCAAAAAGATAGAGCATCCCTGCTATAAATGATTCAGAACTGCATAGCGGTGGAACTGGCACCTGTAAATAGCTACGGACAATGAAGAACAAGGATAATTAAGGGATAATGTGATGAAGTGGTTCACAAAAAACACTGAAATTAGCACATCAACCTTTTCAAGGTGATATTCTGGTAAAGTCATCATGCGCTTGAAGATCCGAGCTATAGTTATAAATTAGGAAAACCAACCCTTATAAAATTATTTGTACAGGTGACTTTATTAGAATGTACAATGGATCAGCAAATCATTGAAACTTCTTTCAATGAATGGAACTGAAGTAATTTTCTGTCAGATCACAGACTCCGAAGAGAAATAAACAATTGCATATTTTGGAAATATATATTAAACTTCAATGCTGCTTCACCATTGATTGCAATTTTTTTCCTAATTTACTTTTAAATTATATAGAACAGAGTTGTATTTTAGTTTGGTTTCGTTTCTCCAATAGTACTGTTCCCAAAAAGACAGGAAAACTTTAGGAGAATTTTCTTAGGATAGAGCAAAAGCAAAGTGGAAAAATATTGGAACAAACAAAGTTCATAGAAAGTGCAAGGAAATAAGACTAAATGCACAGCTTCTTCAGAGAGTCAGCACAGATGCAATGGGTTGAATAAGAGGTCTTCTGCGCTGTAAAAATTTATAACTCGAGATTCAAGTTTTTAAGCTAGTTATTTAGTCACAATGCTTTTATAAACTCTAGTTTTACTCACCTGGACTAAAGAGGACAATTGCCTTGAGGTAGGCATATTCATATCCATCCAGAGATAATTTAACCATGCTGTTACAGAACTCCTGCAGTTTCCAGATGTGCTCCATCACCACTTTCACACGGTCTGCTGACAATTTATCTATTCATTAAAAAATTATGCAACAAACAACAATCTATCACTACGATGCATCCTTATGCTGAACTGAAGAGAACAAGAAACCTCACTAAAAAACAGAAATGAACAGATAATCTTACCATTACATATCTTTCATTCATGTCTCAGTTTCACCATTGTCCCTACTACAGTTCTGATTTTATAAATGACCTGCATGAACTCCTCCTGTGAACCGCTCCACCATTCTCCCAAGACTTTTGCAGTCTCCCCTAATTCAGAATGTGAGCTTTCAGTCCTAGAAATTATAGGCATGAGCCTGAGATTTATGATATGTTAACCCACTACGACACCACTAAATATCCAATAATAAACTGCAAGATCTAGAGTTCCTTGAACAGTTTTGGTCCCCTTATTTAAGATTTGATTCATTGGAGGCAGTTCAGAGAAGTTACACGAGGATGATCCCTGGTATGGAGGGATTGTCTTATGAGCAAAGGTTAAACAGGTTGGGATTCTACTCGAGACAACAAGGTGCAGAGCTGGATGAACACAGCAAGCTAAGCAGCATCATAGGAGCAGAAAGGCTGACGTTTCGGGCCTAGACCCTTCCCTTCATCATCATTTTCTGATGAAGGGT